ATTGTTGTATATGGTTACGGTACGACCATGTTTAGAGAGAAGAATTAAGAGACATAAGTGAGGTTGAAAGAGGGCCAAGTTTTATTGAAGTTGAATGAGATTTTTGTTGATGGAAAACTTGAAATCAATTGTGACTATGTTCCTAATTGTCAAAAAAGCAAGTGATCTTTCTCTCTCTCTCTCTCTCTCTCTCATTTTGCTTCTCTCTCTTTTCAAGCTTAAGATCAACCATGTTTAGTATTTGTTTGCTCAAATTAACAATACAAGATATATATCCAGTTATTTAAAATGGTGATTTTATAACTAGTAGTAAATCCATCTTTTATGGCCTTTATAGCGATCCTGGTTTTGATTCGACCCATCTTGTATTCTGGACTCGGGTTTATTGGTCTTACAGTGTTGGTCATATCCTGTTTCCCCATATATCTTCTTGAATTTGGCTTTGAGACTGTTGTAGCTGTGTGTTTGGAACATGTTAGTTGCTTGATTTTCCAAACTTTTGTTGCCTAGATTTTTGCTTCTCCGCTCGAGCGGCCATTCTTGCGCTCGAGCAGGCTTTGCAAACTCTTAGTGTTTTTGCAAACCTACAAATACTGGAAGAGTGTATTCTACGCTCGAGCAGTGTTTTCTACGCTTAAGCGGGTGGACGCTCAATCGACCAATCTTGAGCTCGAGCGATGTCCTTCGTCTGCAAAATTTCTGAAAGTGTGTATTCTATGCTTGAGCGTCACTCCTTACGCTTGAGCGGAACAATGTGTCTGACGCTCAAGCGTCACTTTTCATACTCGAGTGGATCGTGTGTACATCAATTAACGACAACATCCTTCTTTATCACTTTTTCATCTCTTTTCTTCCATAACCCTAGATTTGAGAGTGTCTCTCTCTAAAAACCCCTTCTCTTTAGATTTTCACTTAGATCTGTTGGGTTCTTCACCCTAGTGCCTTTAAGAAAAAGATAGAGCACATCGTGAGCTCTCTTGTCATTCGAACAAAAGTGGGTTTCGGTGTCTTTGAAGTTCTCATTTGCTTTGCTCGTCTTCTAACTTTGAGGTAGGGATTCTCTATACTCTTATATGACTTTTAACTTGGTTATTTGTTTTGTATAAACATTATTGTGATTTTTAGTAGATTTTGAACAAACCTAGGGTTTTAGTTTAAAATCAAAAGAGGGGTTTCTAAGTGCATGAATTATAAATGGCTATGGGGATGAATATGAGGTTATATTGTGGCAAAATAGTTGATTTTGGTGTTCGGGATTGATATTTGGGAAAGAGGGATTTTGCGTAATTTTGCCCTAAAACGTTTCAAATATTTATCTTGGATAAATAAATGAAATTGGTATTGAAAATATGAAGTTGAATGGGCATTGACAAGAATGGTGGAGAGGAATATGTATTATCATTTACTTATGAAATTTTGAATAAATTGTCTGTCTTGAGATTGTATATCTGTTTAGAAATATCTATTTTGGGCTATCGGTGGAGGATAGCCATGATTGTTGTAGAAATTGCATGAGGATTAGGTGAATTAAAACTAATTTCTCATCCATTGTCATTGAATATGACTATGTTTTTAAATACATTATATATGTATGATGTTTGGAAGGAGATAGGGGATGTACTCTATGTATGATTTTGTCTTTAAATACATTGTATATGCATGATGTTTGGGAGGAGATAGGGGATGGACTCTATTGAAATTAAGTTGGCAGGAATGTCCTGGGTGAAAGCCCTGAAACCGCGCGTATACATGGGTGCCGATTTCCACGGACAAAATGGCCGTAAAATGGCAAATAGAAGTGATTGTGTGATGATTATTCTGGATAAAGACTTATTGAGTTGTATTCTCAGTTTGGGTCGTTTGAATAAAATGAACTGTTGTCATGAAGTGTATTAATACTGTTAGTGTTACATGTCTTGCAAATAATTTATGAAACGGCTTACCAATGGCATTATAATTGCATATTACCCTTATATCTTCGTTAAGTTTTATGTGTTGTACTGAATTATTTCTACTAGCCTTTGGCTCACCCTATGTGAAAAAAAAATAACTATTTTTAGGTATTGGTGATATGCCTCTGTCAGGGGCTTAGCTTGGGAGGATTGTGGAGCTGAAGGCTCGTATTGTTTTTTTTTCTTGTGTTTTGTATTTCTTATTTATACAAGCCTAAGGCTTTATTTGTTTTGAGCTTATGACTCAACTTTGTTGTACCCAAGCAGCGACTTGGACAGATGTACGCCAATAAGACATATGATACGTGTGTAACTTTTATCTCTTATCGCATCTGTCACTTTTGTATATTAAACTCTGATTAATGAAAACGTGTCGTTTCAATTATACTACTGTTTATGGGATGGATTCATTAAATTTATTTCGCGACGTTACAGCTTTCCTTCACATTAAAAAACCTTTAAATGGAACTTTCTTCTCAAATTTGCTAATTGTTCAACTTCCCCATTTCAAAGATGGAATAAAAGATTTTATTTCATTCATAAAGTTGTAGCACATCAGTAAAATTAAAATTCTATGACCTAAAACTACGACGTGATTATAATTTTTAAATTTAAAATATAAATTTCTTGACGTGTATTTTTTTTTTATAGTTGTTAGAGATTGTAGTAGGGAGAGTTTGCTAACCCATCTCCTAGTGAGGAGCAACTGGATTAACCTAATTGATTATTCAAACTAATTTGAATTTTGTATCTAAATTGAAAATAACATGCTTTGTAATAATGATATTTTTTAAAACATAAGTGATCATTATGTTAACTTTGATCCCACTAATTTTGTATGTGATATTAAATTTAACTTGGTCCCATTAATTTTGCACGTGATTTTTTTTCCAAGTTAACACAGCATGACAAATGTACCACATTACAACAAAATTGAAAGCGTAGGGTTCAAATTATTCAAATTTAAACTAAGGGGACTGAAGTGACACTTCTCTTAAATTATAGTGACTAATGGTGTAATTTACCCTTAATAAAATTTAAACTTATCACATCATTATATGTATCTCCAGGGGAAATGCTATGTATCACCTATTTTTTTGTTACTTTTTATATTGCCACGTATATGGATATTCATGACAAGTTGCGTATTTAGAAATAATCAATAGAGAAATAATAAATCAAATAGAGTTAATGACTTGTAACAAATGATATATAGTAGTACTCTTTTTCTTCTCTATGTTTGAAACTGATGATGAGAAAATTTACCTTTAGACAAGTTGTCCCCTCGTTCATACTTGATACACGATAAAAGGAGACAAAAAATAACTGGAAGAGCTAAATTTGTGTGATTAAAGAAGATGGAAAGAGGGTTCCATTGAGGAACACACCTTTGCTCAAGTACTACTACAGACATAAACCTAGAGAGGTTGAAGGGTTCCTTCGGCCTCGTCAAGCTGTTCATTGTGACAAGTTCGTTGGAAAGCGCTTCTATCTCTGGATAATGAAAAAGTGTCGCATGTATCACAAAGCTTTCACCTCAGGAAGCTGTACGTGTGCTTAAAGTTTCACAGAAGTGTAAAAATCTTTCTTTCCTAATCTCTCTAATATGATGTGTTAATCATATTATTTAATTTTGATGATGTCTAAAATATATTAGTTAATATACATATTATTTGACACAAATTATTATCTTTTTAAAATATATATATATTTGTTAAATATTATTTAAATAAAATAATATTATCTTTTTAAAATATATATGTTAAATATTATTTTAAATATTTTCAAAAACTTTACTATTCACTTTTTGAAAAATAGGGTTAATTACTATTCATCTTTTGACAAATCGATTAATTATATTATTTTGACAAAAATGATTATTTTAATATTTTCAAAAACTTTACTATTCACTTTTTGAAAAATAGAGGTGTTGGATGTGGAGAAGAAATCAAGAACTTGAAGAGAAAATATTTCTGTGAGCTCCAAAATTCTTAGTATTCTGCTCTTTCACTTTCAGATCTAAGTCTAGTTTTTGTTCTTACACTTTCATATCTACTCTTTGTGAGAGAATTATTGTAAAAGTGGGTTCAATTACCACTTATTCTTATTCCTTATTTTTGTGAGAGATTTTGTAAGGGTAAGGCATTTATTGTTGAGTGAGGCTCAATAGATAAGAGTAAGTCCTGTGCCAAATCCACAAGCTTGGTGGTGTATTTATTCAATTGATAGTAAAGAAATTCTCAAGGAGGTTCCTTGGGGAGTGGACGTAGGCCTGGCGTGCCGAACCACTATAAATCGCAGTGTTTGATTTTCTCTCTCTATCTCTTCTACTTTTATATTGATAATTATTATTCTGCTTTTTTTTATTTATTAAAATTCTGAATATTGTGTTATTTTTAATATTGTAAAATTTTTAATAACCCAATTCACCCCCCCTCTTGGGTTGCCTATCTGGGATAACATGATGCTTGCTAGCTATAATCCTACTTGACGAATTAATTTTTTTCTATTTTTTTTCACTTTTATTCAAGTATTCAATTTTTATATTCAAATATATTTCTTAATTTTTTTGTCTTTCGTATTTATATTTTATTATTAATTTATATTGAGTTTCCTAATATGGGTTAGATGTGATGTTTTGTTTCTTGTGACTAAAATAGCCTATTTTATTTTTTGTGACTATTTTAACCCCAAATCAAGTTCTCAAACAATGCCTCTTTTATAGAATGATAAAGTTAAGATTATCAAAATAAATAATTAGAATCATTATTTAATTGTAAATAATTTTTTTTTCATATTTTAAATATTAAAATGAATATTTATTTTATTATATTAAAATTAAGTATAAAAATAAAAATATTATATATATATATATTTGTTACACTTTCATAATTCAACCCAACGATATATTTTGTAATATATTTTTTAAATAGTTATATATATCCGTTACTTCACGGCAACGCTACATCCATCCAAAAAACTTGGACCAACATCGTAACAGTTTCCGTTTCGCTAAATACGCTTTTAACCATTTGATTTTCGGTTTCGTCTTCCACTCTCCTCTTCCTCATCTCTCTCTCATTTCAACTTCAATGGCAACTCTCCCCCTCACTCTCTCTCTCTTCACTCTCCCCAAACCCCGACTTTCTCTCTCCTCCTCCCCCTCCTCCTCCATGTCCTCTTCCTCCGCCTTTTTCCGGCCTCAACTCCGGCGTCGATCGAAGGACTCAGCAACTGTTTCTTTTGCTTACACGGCGGGGCCACCGACCGATCCGATTGTGACAGAGAATGATCCGAAGGTCGATGTCTCGAGCTCTCGCGGGGAAAGCGTAGAATCGCCGCGTAATGCGATTAGTTGGGGTCTGTTGTCGAGCCTGTTGTCTCAGCATAAGTTGAGAATCGCTGTTTCGATTTTCACTCTCGTTGGATGCACTACTTGCACTCTCTCAATGCCCTTGTATTCAGGTAAATTAAACTTAAAAAAAAAGAAAGAAGTCTATTCAATTTCTTTTATGCCCCGTTTGGTTGCTCGGACACCACGGGAAAACTAATTTATTTATTTATTTTAATTCCTAAGAATTAATTAAAGCAAGTAGTATTTTTTTGTTAATCTGTTCCTGAATGCTCTGTTTGTAGGAAGAGCAAAGTAGAGAAGGAAACCCGAAACTTTATATATTCTCTTCATTTGATTCGTGAGAGAAGCAAAATAGTTACAAAAAAGTAATTTTTATTTTATTTTTTTGGGTTAAATTCTTCATTTTTTCCAAAGTGGGTCAATTTTAGGCCTTTTGGTGTCATGTAATTTGTAATGCATTTGAGGCTGGTTTCCAGAAAATGAAAAATAATTTTAGTTTAAGGCAAGCAAGAAACAGTTTCATTAGGATCAGTTGCATGGAGGTGTTTCTTTCTCAAGCTTTAATATTTACCTTAGGCTGTGTTTGGTTGAAGGATTTGAGGAGGAAAATGGAAGGAAAAAAGGGAAATAGAAAGAAAATGAGAAAGAATTGATAGGATTCGAATTTCAAGTTATGTTTGGTTCATTTGGGAAATGGAGAAGGAAAAGTGCCTACGTAAACTCAAAAACAAAAAGTGGGATTGCATTTCCTTCTCATTTTCTTTTCCCTTGTGTTTTGTCATTATAACCAAACAAAAAGTGGGATTGCATTTTCTTTTCCTTTCTATTTCTCTCACTAAATCCACAGCCTTATTGTATTTTATTTAACTGCCAAACATAGCCTGAAGTCAAAAGAAGAGTTGAAAATAAAATGAAAATGGCGACCAAAATATAAATTTCATTGGACATTTTTGTTTGGTGCCAAACTGAAGGAAATCAAGGTAAATTGGAATTTCTGACAATGTTTTTTCATTATGTTTTTTTTAAACAAATCTAGAAAAAATCATTTTCCGTGATGGAGTTTTTGGTTCTTGAGAAATTAAGCAATTGAGTTTGAGACGTAGGATTCGGACATTGTTTTCTTTATTTTTCACTTTAAGATATACAGATGGTGAGGTGATTTTGTGAGCTACTAGAAAGCTTTACTTTTGTGCCCACTTCCAGTGAATTTTTATGATATCTCCATTTTTATTTTCAAAACAATTATTCATCATGAATATTATTTTTAAAACAAGGTCATGCAATACAAGCTGAGAATTGAATGAAGAGCTCTGTTCAAAATAATTTTTCCTTTTTTTTTTTTTTGAATGAAGAGCATGAAAATAAGACATCACTAATGCTTACCAACTAGTTGTTGATGGTTTTCCAGGGAAATTTTTTGAGGTACTAATTGGCAAAACACCTGAACCTCTGTGGAATGTGCTTAGCAAGGTTGCAGTTCTGTATGCATTGGAGCCAATTTTCACTGTTATTTTTGTTATAAACTTGAACACGGTATGGGAGAAGGTTATGTCAAACGTAAGAGCTCAGATATTTCAAAGGGTATTGATTCAAAAGGTACGATCAATCAATTCATCTGAGTTCAATTTTATTTGGTCTCAAAGATGACCTACTATGGGAATTTTTTGACCATAGTGCTATATTGATTTGTTTTCTAAATATTTATTATCCTGTCATACTTAGATTGTTACATCACTTTTCAAATTTCTCATGGGGATATTAAATTGACCTCATGTCTTGTGAATGCTTCATGCTCTTTAGGTTGGATGGAGAGCCTATGTCAAATTACTTTCATTCTTCATGGAAATATTGATTTAAATGCTTGCAACTCGTTGGACTTCTCATTTATTGTGCTATAGTAGTACTCAAGAGGAATACAAATGTTGAAATGCTTGGGACTTTTTGGAAAATGAAGTGTGTGGAGTTGTTTGGGGCTTGGGAACAATTTTTTTATGGGCGTTGGCTCAGCAGTAAGGTTTTTCTATTGTGACTTGGGCATTGCGGCTTCGAAATATAGAAACAGCCACTCCACATACCCCTTGGTGGCGGGAGCCTTGTGCACTAGGGTTGACCCTTTTTCAGTGTAAAATGCTCGTTTTCAAATCACTCATCCACCCCCTAGATTGCTTGTTTTGTCATAGGATATGTTGTTTTGGTTCTTGGTTTGTTTATAAAATTTCTCCTCTTCTTCTTCTTCTTCAAAAAAATATTTTGTGTCTAGCAGCCCTTGGGTTTAGCTTTAGATGCAGTCTATTCACTATAGTTGTGTTTATGGGAATTTAAACCTGTGAGTATGTGGGCCATCTGCTTCTGTTTTTTGTTATAGTGATGAGAAATTGAAGCTTCTTAGGAAGACTTGAAAATGGGGTTGGATATGCTGGGGAAAGTGCTTTTTTTTCTTTTTCTTTTTTGTTTCCTTTCTCCAGGGTGTCCAGAATATGCTTATAGTCCGGTCTATATTTGTCTGTATGCCTATCACATGCAAACCAAGTGCAACATGTAGGCCTTGAGAGTCAAATTTCCCAAACAGGAAACCCGATTGGAGAAAGAAATAGTTATGGAGATAGAAATTCAAGGATTTTGGGATTGAAAAGGTGAAGTGTCTGTGCTTCTTAGATGATGGGGGCAGCAGAAAGATGTTTTTCTGTGAGAACACTTTACTTTGAAGGACCCAAAAGCATTGGAACTTGGTTTTTACTTAAAGCTTTGTTTGGCAGAAGTGTTGAAGCTAATGGGAATACCATTGTTTGAAGGAACCAAAAGGGGGAATCATTCAGTGAAATCTTTTCTGACCTTAAGTTGGTTGTTCCTTTTAATGTGGAGGAAGATAGATGCGAAGGAGATGGATTTTGAGAAGTGGAGAATGTGGAGTTATCTTAAAAAACAATTTGAACAAGGGACATAATTGCCCTAACTGACACATACTTCAAATATGGATTCAGAATAAATATCTTACAATTTGCTTGCTTTGGTTGCTTAACTATAAACCTGTAGATGAGATTCAGTATGCTCTAAAGGTAGGCATGGGGAGCCTCGTTAATTTATTATTAGGAAATTGATTTACAAACAGAAAATTTATACGATAAACACATCTAGGATGATGTAATAGTGGTATTCTTGTAATTATAATAATGATGGATATTTTTACTTAGAATGAAAGGATCATAAAATGCTATGTCATTCTGTATGAAATTTCTGTACAGAAATTCCATTTGTATAGCATTACCCTTATTATTATTATTATTATTGTTATTAAGTAAATATGCTTTTGAAAAATGATGTTAAAGTGATGTTAATTAGTTTTTGTGAAGATAGAAACATAGATATTTACGTTTCTGATATGTTATTTTGCCTTTATTTGCAGGTGGAGTTTTTTGATCAATACAAGGTATGGATTGAGAGTCTTCTGTTTTTGTTACTGCTCCCAGATTGGGAAGCAAGTTGATGAAATAATTGTATGTGTGTATTAGGTTATATAACTTTTATTGTCTCAAATGACCTAAAAATGTTTGGGGAAGAAGTATGGCCTATGTTGTTGCCTAAAATGGGCTGCACTCAGGGCATTTGCTCTAGCTTTAAATGGGGCTCCAGCAAGTGGAAGGAGGGATTGGTTTCCCGGGATTAGTCGAGGTGCACGTTAGCCGGCTTTGATGCCCGGCTATCAAAAGCAAAACAAAAAACCAATGGACTGCTCTCTGGTGCTAGTGGTTCTCAAGATGGTCCTTTTATCTTTAGTTAGAACTACTAGCTTTCATTTGGCAGATTTTCAATTCTCTGGAAGCAGGATTTTGCAATTGCAACAAGTGTCTAGTGCTCAATATTGGGTATTCAACTTCTTAGTTATAACTTAGCATCTTCCCCGTGACTCTTCTTCCTCAGCTTTTATATTTTCTTTGTTTGGCATTTCTATAACTTTTGCAAGTACAAGTAAGCCATCCCCCCTCCCCCCCTGCCCATATTATGCTTCACATTTGCGAAATATTTTGTGTGAATGCATCGTTTTCTAAACCTAAAGCCTGGTACTTAAGAAGCCATATTAATATATTATACCTGAAATTAATATTTACAACCATTGGACTTTTTTACTTGGCATGCCTTCTCTACTTCCATTTCAGTGTCACGAAGACTTGACTATGTGGACTTCAGTAATTGAAAATTACTATATGGAAAACATGAAACTAGACACACAACACAAGATACCTAATTCTTAGCAAAGAAAGGAAATAAAGAAAGATGTTGTACATGGAGAAGGGACTTTTTCTGTGAAATAACAATGTGATAGAAGCAATAATGCATCCTTAGGAGATGCTGCAACTACTATCAATGTGAAACTAAAAAATCTTTAATTGTGGCTTACCTTTGATTAAGGGTAAAAATAGTCATTTGGGCAATGAGTTCCCCTTTTTCTATTTACTCTGTTATGCTTATAAGGATATTTGCCCTTAACAATGTAAGACTTGCACATGATCTAAAATTGTCTTGTCAATCTTTGTTTTCTTTTTCCTTTTGTTAGATGCTATATATATTTCTCCCTTTAGTTGTGTCCTTTCTTCATACACAATTAGGCCTCTCAATTGGGCCCAAATGAGCTTGGTCGAGGATTGCCTGAGCTCAGCCCGAATTGATTTTCATGAGCCCAAGCCCAGCTCAACCCGAAGAAAAATAGCAATCTCAGCCCATACTATGTCATGGGCTTTGGGCTGGGTTTGAGCTAGACTGTTTTTAAATATTTACTACTGGCTTTCAAAAATATTAAAAAGATTGTTCTTTGGAGACCCCAAAATTAGAAATAACAACCACTTGATGTAAGCTATTAAGTATTAACCAATAAATCAACACATTATTATGTTTAATTTAAATAAACACATTTATTTGCATATAAATAAAAGTAATAAATTTTAATTACACCAAAGTACAGGCCGGGTCTAAGCTTGGCTAAGTCCAGTCTGAATTTGATTTAGGCTTAATTTATTGACCAAGCTTGGCCTGTCCCAAACTTGCCAAAGCTTAGCTTGAAAAAAGTTCAGGCTGAGTGGGCTGGCTTTGGGCTTGCCCGGCCCTATTTGACTATCCTACTCAAAATGACATTTCACTCACTAATAATTGTAGTTACAACACAACTGAGAACTTGTGGTTTCCTTGTGACAGGTTGGTGAACTCACTGCATTAATAACATCTGATTTGGGTTCTCTTAAAGACATTGTGAGTGAAAACATATCAAGGGATCGTGGATTCAGGGCACTTTCTGAGGCAAGCTACTCTTCACTAAGCAAACGTGAGCTTTATGTTGGACACAGTTAAGCATGTATATTAATTCTTTATAACTATAATGAATTTCACTTCAAAAGTGACAACTTATCCAATTTTTATTTTATTTTATTTTATTTACAACCATATTATTTTTTGAGTTGCACTTAGTATGAGACAAGATTTACCAGTTTTTGAAACAGTATTGTGTTTTTTCATTTTTTTGGGTGGAAATTCTGTATGATGGTCATTTTAGCATCTCTGACTTTTGTTTCTCTTGTAGGTGGTTGGAACAATATGCATCCTGTTCACTCTATCCCCCGAACTTGCACCACTTCTGGGGTTACTTATGCTTATGGTGTCTGTTTTAGTTGGTAATTTTTTGTTTTTTGTTTTTTTTGATTTGCAACAAAAGAAATTTTATTAGAAAGTAATAGTTTGTTCTGTAATATGTCTTTGAATTTCATGTTGTTTTCCTTCACCATAAACATGCGACAGGAAAACTGTCTACGGTTTTGTTTTCTCCTTTTTCGTATTTTACAAATTCTTGGAAATCTTATGCTGTAGATTTATATGCATTAAGATGTTGGGTAATTTTCTAATTGATGATGTTTTTGTTGACTGGGTAAACAAGTACAATAAGTTTGAAGCCTAAACAAAGCTGTGGGAAGGACAACAACTAAGGAGCCTTTTTGATATGACTCGTGCCTGTATTTATCTTGATTATAAGTTAGTATGATGTTAGTCACTAATAATTTTATTTTATTTTTGCCACTGAACCTGTAGAATCCTATAATGTGATAATCACCTTATGATCTGCACTGAAATCAAGGAGCTCCTCTAGCCCTGCTATCTGTCTGGGGAGGCATTGATTTTCAAAGTGCTACATGAAGGACCTGGGGTAATGAGAGATAATTAATGAAGATCCAATTCTGCAGCGTAGGTGAACACTGAGAAACTTTAATATTACATCAGGTATCCAGGTCCATGGCCAATGCATTGTGTGCTTTTGCCTTTGTAGGGTACTGATATACCCACCACAGAGGAGGTAAAGTACACCTTATGTGTATTTTGACCCCAAACTCTTAGTTTCCTTTCCCATTTATGAATGTAGAAAACTCCATGATTTGCAAAAGGACTAACAATATTCATCCCTAAAAAGCGCTCTTTGTTGCTGGTGCCTGTAAGAGAGTGTTCATCACACTTGTCCATGATCAGTAATCTGTTTTTATATGCTGAAAATGTCAATTTAACTTTGAACAACTGTCACTTTGAAGTGTCAGACAATCATGCTGCTTACCACATTCTTTCTAAAATTGAGGTGTCTACCTTATGGGGATGCTAAATTCTTGGTAAAAGGGTTAGTATATATATATTTTGATTGAGCTTTATTACCACAAAAGAAAGATATATGATGGTTTTCAATGAAAAACCAAAGAGGCAAACAAACCTCTAGCTCCAAGAGGTGACATCAAGTGATTCCAAGACTAAATATATATACTATCACAACCTGAAAGTCTAGGTCTCAACAGGAAATAAAAAATCACATCCCTCATAACCCAAGAGGCTAGGATATTCTAAGTAATATTGTAGCCATCTCCTTGCCCGTGCTTAAGAAATTTCCGAACTTCATTAGTAGTTGTATGACTTGGATCCTTGGCTTGATTGCAAGATTTGACAAAGATTTATCTTGAGCCATCTTTAAGTATTTATCTCAGCTTTGTATATGTTTTTCCATGTTTTATGACATTTCTACATATAATAGATAATTTCTTAAGCTCACACATTCGCTATTCCATGTTTATTCACATTTCTGCTTGCCAATTGATAATTGTTTAAGCTCATGTTCAGTGAACCTTGTTGCTCTAAATCAACTAGTTAAAATTTACCATCACCTACCACACACTTACCATCACCTACCACACACTCACCTACTACACTCACCTACTCCTCACCTACCACCACCTACTCCACTACACCTACATCTATATACATCTATATAAGGAACCATTTGTAATAGACAGAATATCTATATCAATCAATAATAAATCAATATATACACAATTTATTCTCTCTTACTCTATCAATTTATCTTACACAACTCAAGATTATTCTGCAATTGTCAAGAGATTCTAGTTTAGGAAGTTTTTCTTCCTTTGCAATTGGTTCATATTTTCTTGCTGCTGCTGAGTGTTATGAATTTTCAGCTATATACAAGCGGTCGACTGTGCCTATTTTTAAAGCTCACGGCATGGCCCAAGCATTGATAGCTGATTGTGTAAACGAAACTTTTTCTGCTATTCGTACTGTAAGTGTCTAAATGCTCTGCTACAGAGATCTACTTTTTGTGCATGTGGGGTTTATATAATGAATCCTTGTCAGAAGTTAGATTGTTCTCCGTTTTCCATTAAAGCACTAGTTTTGAGATGGAAAGATAGATCAATGCTTGGATGTACATGCAATGATAAAATCAGTATGATTTATACTGCAGGTAAGATCCTTTGGTGGAGAAAAATGTCAAATGTCAATGTTTGGTAACCAGGTCAGACGTGGGTTCTTATTTAAATTCCCATAATGCTAACATTCTGCGAAACATCTGTCTACAGGCAGATATTATTGCTGTCTACGAACTTAGAATCTACTATTGTGGAGCTTGGCAGGTCCTTGCTTATCAGACTAGTGGCATAAAGCTTGGGACTTTCAAATCCATAAATGAATCTCTCACTAGAGTTGCAGTTTATATTTCTTTGTTGGCCTTGTTTTGTCTTGGAGGCAGCAAAGTAAAGGCGGTAAGTACTTCAATCTAGTGATACCTTTTTTCGTGTCCTTGTAAAAATTATGTGATTAGGTTTTTGCGTCCTCCTCAAAGCAAAATTATTTTCACAGTATTATACTTAATTCATCTTATGAGCAAATGTTTTCGTTACACATCTTAGTTAATGGTTGGCAGTTTGCTACGATGTTGCACTCATACATGGGATTTTCAGATCCAAGTTTTTGTTTATTTCTTTGTTGAATAAGCATTTATTAATGATTTATGCATGATGCAGGGCGAACTATCTGCAGGAATTGTGGTTTCTTTTATTGGATATACATTCACATTAACTTTTGCCGTAAGTCATTCTTTTTCTGCTTCACACCTTTATGCTGTTTTTTTTAGACTATATGCTACATGACAAAACATTAAGGGGTGACCATTGGTTCAATGGTTAAGACTTGACCTAATAACCTTGAGATTATGAGTTCAAGTCTTGGGGCCACCACTCTGTGCATTATGTCAAATGTTAGGTGTGTATTCAATCTTTTCCCTCCCAAACACACATTAACGTGTACTAATTGGGCGTTTTTTTTTTTTTTTAATGCTACATGACACAACACACCTCAGGTTCAAGGGCTGGTTAACACATTTGGAGATCTTCGTGGAGCTTTTGCTGCTGCAGAGAGGATTAACTCTGTTTTAGCTGGGGCTGAAATTGACGAAGCCCTGGCCTATGGTTTGGAAAAAGACATCAAGCGTCAAGAAGTACATGATAAGAATTTTGGATTGTTCTTTGTCAGTGATTCTGATAGGAATAATCAATCTCTTAATATGCATTACATGTCATCTTTGAAATCAACTAGCAGCCTGGGTACCCTAGCCTGGTCTGGTGATCTGTGTCTTGAAGGTATCTTGATTCACTTTACATGTTTGTTTTCAAGCACAGTGAAAGACAGAACTTCTTACATTTTCCAAAAATGCAAATTTAAGTATATCATCACTTTTTAAGGCAATGTAAAAGGGCAACTTAGCCTAATGATAAGGCTTGCCATTAGTGTCTCATGTGGTGCGGGTTTGAGTCAAGGAAACAGCTTCTCCCATAATGGGAGTGAGGCTGCGTACATTTTTTGTGAGGAAGTTTGCTTTTATGAGGGAAACCTTGTCTATAATATATCTTTCTTCTTTCTACCTGCTTTTTGAAACACTAAAGATTCGAATTGGTTAGCATGGTGTTAAAAAAATGCTTAATCTTGGGAATGTCCTGTAGTTTTTTTTTTTTGTTGCTTTTCCTGCTTTGTTTGCAAGATCAAGCCTAATCCACTTTTTGTAGTGGAAAATGTTTGTGGTAAATTCATTTAACACTTGTTCCACTACACCTAACAATGGGTCTCCATTGTTTTATACAGATGTGCACTTCTCTTATCCTTTGAGGCCTGATGTGGAAATCCTGAACGGTCTTAATCTAATGCTAAAATGTGGAACTGTAACTGCTCTAGTGGGCCCAAGTGGTGCAGGGAAAAGTACTATAGTACAGCTATTGGCACGTTTCTATGAGGTTTATTTCTTCTCATTATTTTATGATTATTTAAATTTTCATTTTCCCCGTTATGGATTCATAAAGAATGACAAGTATTAATCCACATCCTTTTTTTTTGTGCAGCCAACCAAAGGTTACATTACAGTTGGAGGAGAGGATGTGCGGACATTTGATAAGAGTGAATGGGCACGGGTCGTCTCAATAGTGAATCAAGTATGTCTCTGAATCTTCCCCATTTTTGATCTAAATGCTTCACATACTAAGTACATGTATGGGGATGTATGTATATGCTGAACAATGTTATATTGAGTATTTACTCTTTAAACCTACTCAAGGCATGAATGTAACTTTATGTACACAAACTTGCAAGAATGCTCACACCTACACTCACACATGTGGGATAATCAAAATCGGTAGAAGCATATAAGATTGTAGCATTCTTTCTAACATGGCGCAGCCCAGGTTGATTAAGAAACTTGGGGCAAATTGGGTAAGACACAGGAGTTTTAAGCACTGTGTTGGATCTAGTTGAGGGGTTTTGTCTCAAACAACCTAAACTGAACGAACAACATTGCATCCCTATGTAGTTCTGGTGAAGCACCTTTGTTTAAACAATGTGCTCTTATATTACCTGAAAGGTACTTAAATAAAATTTTCACAGGAACCTGTTCTCTTCTCAGTGTCTGTCGGAGAAAATATTGCATATGGGCTCCCTGATGATTATGTATCCAAGGATGATGTGATAAAGGCAGCAAAAGCTGCAAATGCTCATGGTTTCATAATTTCGCTCCCACAGGCTTGTCATCTGATTCATCTCTAAAAGGTCCACATATTACTTCCTTCTGTTTGCTTCGTTGTTGTTTAATGAATCTCTGTTTAATAAACAGGGTTATGACACACTTGTTGGTGAGCGGGGAGGTTTGCTAAGTGGAGGACAGAGACAGGTAATAACAATAATATATGTGAGAGAGAGAGACATAGAGAGAGAGATTTGTACTGAAGTTTATTTGCAATTTGCAGAGAGTTGCTATTGCAAGGGCTCTTCTAAAAAATGCACCAATCCTGATACTTGATGAGGTACCCTTTTCTTTTGCTTCTCTTTGCACATATATATGCCTGGATTAGGCTAGTGATATGGAAGATTGGTCCAGATTACCCAGATGAAACAAATTCAAAAGATATTCCATTGCAGTCCACCTCTACAAATTCAAAAGATATTTTTATTAATATAACATGTTGGTCACAGACCATCGCAACCACCTTAGTTGCTTCACATTTATGTTTTAGTGCAGGCCACGAGTGCTTTGGATGCAGTTAGTGAGCGCCTGGTCCAGGAAGCTCTAAACCACTTGATGAAGGGAAGAACAACATTAGTCATTGCCCACAGATTAAGCACAGTTCAGAATGCAGATCAAATTGCTCTTTGTTCTGATGGAAAGATCACAGAGCTAGGGACCCACTTAGAGTTATTGAGCAGAAAGGGTCAATATGCCTCTCTGGTTGCTACTCAAAGGCTTGCATTTGAATAATATTGCTATTACCACTTTCTGTAAACAAATGCCAAGGTAAAACATGAGTTGTAAAAATTTAGTTTTTCTTTTTTTCTCTATAAGTTCCATCACATCAATATTCATTTCCATTTGACACGTTTCCTTCATGCAGAGATCCAAATTTTGTCAAGCTTGAAAGCAAATCAGTGCTAGAGATCACAAAAGGAGGCTAGATGAGATCGTGAGTTGAAAACAAACACAATAGCTTCCATTAACTCTTTATTGACTGTTATGTATACCGCTGTTACCACACTTATTCGAGTGCAGACACCCTAGGCTACATCATGTTGTAAAGTAATACAACAGTGAAAAGTGGACAAATTAACAAAGGCTATCAACAAGAATTGTCGTTATACTGATTGTTGTCCAATTATTTGAATTTATTAATTTGGTATTGTATAAGATCAAAAATAAAATATTATTTTCACATAATAAATAGACGACAGGTGAAATTGCTGCTGCAGAAATGGAATATAGTGTCTCAGCATATGAAATTTACATTGTTGTAAAATTTTATCTTGGGGATGAGGATGGGATGGAAAGGGAAGGACTCATCTTTTGGGTAGAAAGAAAATCTTAAAACTACTGTTGTGAGAGTGTTCTTTATTAATGGCTTTGGAAATATTTTTTCTCGTGCGATTTCACTTGTTGTAACGGTGTTCGATTATTTGTGCGGAATTCAAAATTATGCAGAGCTTGAATTTATCTTTAGATAAGATGAGTGTTGCTAAGATGAGGATGCTAAGATAGATGTGTGGTAAGTCTAGAAAAGACAGAATTAGGAATGAGTATATTCGTGAATGGGTAAGAGTAGCATCGATAGAAGATAAGTTGAGAGAGAATAGATTGAGATAGTTTGGTCATATACAACGAAGATCAACAAATGCAGTAGTGAAAAGATGTGATTCAGTGACGGTAGATGGAAGTGTTAAGGGAAACGGCAGACCTAGATTGACGTGGACGAATGTAATAAATAGGGATATGAATCTTCCTTAATTTGACTAACCAAATGGCCGTTAATAGAGTTTAGTGGAAAAGAAGGATTCATGTAGCCGACCTCATTTGATGAGACTTAAAAGCTTGATTTGGTTTGATTTATATAAGTTTTGATCTTCATCTCCCTTGTTAACAAGGATTTGTCTGCTTGCATTTAAAATCCATGTTCGAAGGAATTGATGCCTTCATACTTATAAGGAAAATAATGTTCATTTAAAGTCACATTTGTTCCTTGTTTTTGGTGGAAAACATTCTACAAAAAAAATCTGCTAGAGTTTTTCCAGTGAAAGAAGATGTAGAACACTTAGCTCCTCTCCTTCAGTCATATAAAACAAAATAATTAGACATTGATCCTATAAGAACTTCCTCAATGACGGGCCACAATAAAATCTTGAAAAGACTCCATAACCATAACTTCAGAAGTATCTCCGATATCTCTTCTCTTTCTCTTGTGTTGGTCAACTCAACTTGTAGAACCTTTAGGCTGTGTTTGGTTGGATCTTAAATTTGTGGAAAGAGAAGAAACGAAAGTATACTTCCAAAAATATTTTAAGCTGTCTTGTAGCCTCATGATAAAAGAATTTAAGTACCATATCGTGTTTTCTTCTCGCTTTCCCAGCAAGAGCTATAGAGAGAACATGATTTGAAGTGGTCTAAATGGTGGTTTTAAAATCTTTAAGAATTGAAGTGGTCTAAATGGTGGTTTTTAAATCTTTAAGAACTAGAGAAGGAGATTGTAGCATTCATGTTGGCAAGACATTCCGTAGGAAGGCTAAGGAAGGTATCCATAAGAAAATCATCAATGGGGTCAACAGTTGCCACCCCAACCAACCTGCACTTCCCTTCTTCATTCAGACTCTCCCCTTTCCCACTTCTCAGTGTTCCCTTTGACTCCTCTGATGTTAACACAGTCTCCACCAGCAATGGAGGAGCTTTATAGATACTCCCAATGGAAAACAAAAACTTGGCCTTGAACTCAAGATCCACCTACAAATAAAGCACCACCATTAATACATACATACGTATATATATATATATATATATATATTTATATAACATGTAAATACAACAGCACCATTAATCCTAATGACAGCATCAATGATCAAAATAAAGGCTGTGTTTGGATATTGGATTTGTGAAAATTTTCATTTATAATCTTTTAAAGTAAAAGTTGAGAGTGGGCTTAAAGTATATAATAAACATTATCGACACAAATGTTGCAGTGTATATTCTTCACATATTTACAGAAACAATGATTACTTAAGCCCCCCTTCTTTGCTTAGCAGTCTCAAAGTTATATGATTATAACTGAGAAGGATCATCACTAGCCTGTTTTAGAAGTCCTTTACAAATGAGTCAGGCTTATGATGTCTTTTTCAAATGCATAATGCATTCTTTTCAGCACATATAATACGAGCTTTCTAACATCCAGAAAGCATGTGGTATTTTCCTATTTTTTGGAATTATTCTAACGTGAAAATGCCTGATGTTATGTAGATTGTGCATGGCCTAAAGATTGTATTATAATTTTTTTTTGGGGTTATGAGGGTTATTTGGAGTTTTGCCTTGACTAGTCCCCGGGTTCATGAAGTCCCTACTCCACACATACTGGGTAATTATGTACAGGTGGAAAATCGTATATGATCAAGTTGTTCTGTCAACATTGTTTAACTTTCCAGTAAATGATTATCATCAGTGAGAATTGTATATAATCTACCTTGCCAGATTTTTGGTTGATGATTCCTCGAAATAGCTCAGGAACAATATCAATTTTCAGGAAAGGCGGCAATGGCAATCCCAAGAACCTAGTTGTTGCGCTTGTCAATGACGGAATATAGAGTGTTTCTAGATCAAAATTGACTGAAACTTCACCATCCAAGTCACCATCTACGATTTTCAACCCCATCCCAGTCCCTGCACCCCCTTCAGCATTGTATTCAAAGTCAGGATATCTAGAAATCCCAAGCTTGCAACCTCCCAGTGTCCTGAACTTTCCAGTAAATGATTATCATCAGTGAGAATTGTATATAATCTACCTTGCCAGATTTTTGGTTGATGATTCCTCGAAATAGCTCAGGAACAATATCAATTTTCAGGAAAGGCGGCAATGGCAATCCCAAGAACCTAGTTGTTGCGCTTGTCAATGGCGGAATATAGAGTGTTTCTAGATCAAAATTGACTGAAACTTCACCATCCAAGTCACCATCTACGATTTTCAACCCCGTCCCAGTCCCTGTACCCCCTTCAGCATTGTATTCAAAGTCAGGATATCTAGAAATCCCAAGCTTGCAACCTCCCAGTGTCCTGAACTTAACACCGTACGCATCAGTTTTTGGTATTGGTGGCTGTCTTTGAGTGACTCTGGTGGTAGAAATAGGTGGTGGTTGTTGATTCTGATTCTGATTGTTGATTCTGAACTTTGGTTGAGCTGATGAGAACAAGGATAGTTGTGATGGTTTGTTTGTGGGAATTCTGCCTAGTATTTGTGGAGTTGAGGTGTGCAAGTGACAACACCCCATTTGGTGGAGGTTTTGTTTTTTTAAGGTCTGTTAGGAGAGAGAGGAGGAGAAGAAATACATGGGTTTTGTAGGGGAATTTAAGGTAACAGAGTTGGGTTTTTTTTTGTGTGTGGTTTTCATGAGATATATGTGAGATCAAAATGTGTGGTTGGTTTGCTTCCTCAAGTTAGGAGAGCTTGACCTTATCCTTTAAAGAGCTCACTGGAGGATCTTAATCCAGCAGTCATGAAAACTGAGAATTATTATTTGGTTTACAGTCCTAAGATTTGCCCTAGTGATGATAGTGATGATTACAGCCCTAACATTTGCCATAATAATTTAGTTTGCCGTAATATAAACTAAATATTTTATTTTTTTATTTTATAATTTTCTCACATTTTCCTTTTCTTCTCCAAATTTTGACAAAAATCTATAATCAAAACATATTCTAAATGGCGAATTATACTACTAGTTCCTATAGTTTGGACCTTGTGTCATTTTGATTCCTGACCTTTCAATTGTAATACATTTGACCATAAATTTTGAATTTTATTTCAAATAAGGACAATTAAAGACATTGTTACTCTATTTGAAGGGCAAAATCTTCATACAACTTATTTTGTGTTGGTTAACTTATATGTTATTTGAAATATAATGGCTTTTTTTTTTAATGAATAATGTTGAAACTTTTTTTGTTTTTAAAGTTTTGTTGAGTTTGGTTTCCAAAATCTATTTTCAAATTTTTTTTCTAAGAAACTAAAAATTAAATTGGTGAAAAAAATTAAAAACATATTACTCTTATATAATTTTATCGTTTGGGAGGGTAGAAATATTTTTTAAAAATAATTGTTCTTTGATATTTATTTTTATTACATTAATTTTTATTTTTGCAAAAGTTAAACATAGTGACAACTTTGATGCCATTATTCAATTAATCTATTAAATCAAAAAATTCAAAACTAGAAACATTTTATATGGTAACATATCAATTATACATTAAAAACCTTCTAACAATCCATTAAATAATAGTCATCCTGTTAATAACAAATACAACTATCTATTACATGATAACTATTGAAAAATATCAATAAAATAATTTTATCTTTGATGAGTAGAAATAATTTTTAAAAATTTTAAAAATAAATTTTTGACATTATTTTTGTCAAATTAGTTAATATTTTATTAAATTGACGACTTTACCTTTCAAATAGAGCAACAATATTCTTAATTATTCTTATTTAAAATAAAATTTAAAATTTAAAATTAAATGTATCACAATTAAAAAGTTAAGAACTAAAATGATATAAGCCCAAAATTACAGGACGGGTGGTGTAGCCACTCTATCCTAAATGAGACCAGTTATGAGACAATGTATTTTGTTGATCAAGAGTTATTATGGCGGTTTGGGAATTTAGTGCACAGAATGTCAATTTGCATGCACAAGAGCCCAATCCGACTTGAGATTTGTGAGATGAACTCCCCAAACCCGATACATCACAATTATTTGTTTATTATATGATGTAATTATTCAGAATAATTCTTTAGTGTTCGTTATTTTAGCTACTCGCACCATGGGTTACCAAATATTCGTCCACCCTCCATTACCTAACAAATCACCAAACATGGTTCTTCATTTTTATTTTCATTTGTCTTCAACACTTTTCAGTACGCTAAATAAGTTTCTGTAAATTAAAAACAAAATGCAAAAAATAAGAAACTGACAATGTTACAAGATGGAACACTTTAGAGCATTCATCAGAATTTTCATCAAATTTGAGTAAAAAAAAAAAGAACTCCTCTATCTGATATCGTCTGCTCCAACGGAGAAATTTAAGTTGCCATTAGACCACCGGCCGACCAGCGCGGACTACCCGCCAGTCGAGCAGTTAATGAAAAAAATGAAAATCCTGCTTCTGAGACCATTGCAGTTCATAAAACTAAATCTTTATTAGATATCACTTTGAATAATCTGAGACCAAAATCAAGCAACCCACAATTCAAGTACATATCTACAAGCGATGTCTGTAAATAAATGTAGTTGGAATTCATAAAATTGTGCTTTATACAGAACCCATGAACCGATTTACCTTCTTTGCCAGCAGAAACATTTACACAAGCCCGAACCAAACATTCAGGTGTAAATGGCTCCAATTCAAAACTAGCTGTTCTCATCTCCGAAAACAGCTCAAAAAACTTTGGTTTGCTTTGAAGACTTGAGATAGCCTTTCATCATAGAAACCCAAATAACTGTATTCCACTCAGGAATTTCTTCAAACAATTTATGGGCATCTTTCAAAGAACCCAAATCAGAGTACACATCTATGAGAGCAGGGACAAGATAAGGATCTCTATCAAGTCCCGATTTGATTGCCAAACAATGAACAAACTTCCCATCTTGCAAAATCGACAACCCAATACAAGATTTGATTGCAAATGCCAAGTTGAAACTATCAACGGAACAACCTTCGGTTTGCATCTGTTTGAAAAACCGTAGATCAGTGGAGAAACATTTGTTCTTGAAGAATCCAGAGGCGATGGTGTTATATGAATAGGAGTTCTTGACAGTAATGAAATCGAAAACTTTGGTAGCGAATTGGAGAAAACCCAATCGGATGTAGGTGTTAGAGAGCTTGGAACCGAAGAGAAGTGAACTATAGAGACCATTGAGGATGATTTCGGAGTGTAGCTGTTGGGTGACGAGCTCGGATCCTCGGCCGCACAAGCCTGCGGCCCTCCCTACCGCACCACAAAACGACGCCGTTTTGTATTTTTTTTTTCCCTCCTTTGTTTCTTATTTTGTATTAGAGTTGATGTATAAAGAGAGAAATACAGAGAGAATAAATTGTATGTATTATGATTGATTATTGATTGATGTATATTAATTGATATTACAACTCCTATATATAGAAGAGAGGGTGGTAGTAGGTGTAGGTGTAGGTGGTAGGGGGTGAAGTGGAGGTGGTAGGTGGAGTGGGTGGTATGTTTACATTTTACATTAACAGCCCCCCTCAAACTCAAGGAGGATAGGTACTAGCCAACTTGAGTTTGGAGAGAATAACAAAACAGAAAAATAAGCTGACAAATAAAATTAAAAATGGGATAGGAGACACTGTATGGTCGTGTCGGACCGTTGTAGCAGACAGTTTACGGGGTCATGTCGGACCGTTGTAGCAGACACTGTGTGGTCGTGTCAGACCGATGTAGAAGACAGTTTATGGGGTCATGTCGGACCGTTGTAGAAGACAGTTTACGGGGTCATGTCGGACCGACCGTGCCCCTCTGCTTGCTCAGTGCCTTGGTGGATGTTACACAGATCTTTCGCTACGACTGGGGTGGCGTTGCCTTGGCCACCCTCTACGGGTACATGAGCTCAGCTTCCCGTGGTAGTAGACAGTTGCTCGGGGGCTACTGGCGTGCTTGGGAGGTATGTTTCTTCTCTGCTTTTCATTTCTGCTCTACATTTTCTGTTACTCTGTACTGAACTTTGTACGCTGCACACACTGGGGTCTGCTTTATACTGACTGTATACTGTACACACGGCACGCACATACTCTGCTTTACACTGGCTGTACACTGTTCACACTGTACACTCTGCTCAATACACTACACACGGCTCTACTATCTCTGTTCTATTCCGTATTCTGTTTTATCTGATAAGCATACTGGTACTTATTCTACAGTTGTGGGTCTACGCTTACTTTGCCAGGCTTGCACCTGTGCCAGACGTGGAGACCCCTCTCGTCGTCCCTTTCTCACGCCGTTTCGACGGGAGATGCGTGCGGAGGCCACGGGAGACGTTTAGCTTCTTCTGTCGTTATTTTGACACCATCACTCCTGCAGAGGTATGTTTTACTTGCAGTTCATTTAAGCTTCGCTTTATACTATACTTTCAACAATAGTAGATAACAATCTGTATTTCATTTTCAGATCACTTGGCAGCCTTGGGCTCCATTGCCAGCCGTGATTCGGGATCGGTTTGTCGGTGTTGAGGAGACCTCGCGGTTCCAGATTTTGCTGGAGGGCTCGATCTGTCTCGATGCAAGATAGGCTAAAAAGCTTTGCAAAATGGGGTAAAAAGGGACAAAAGTCTTACCCTTGTAGACCCTCTTCACAAACAATGTTCCAGCAGCTCTTTTGGTTCCAAACCAGTCCAAAAGCTTCAAGAAAAGACCTCTGGTACCTCAGCAACTACGAAAAGGTGTGATGGTGGGTGTTTGTGCACAAAAATGAGACTAAACACACACACTAAGCTCAAGAGAGAGAGAGAGATAGAGAAAAGGATATATGTAAACCCTAACCCACATTTTACATTAACATTTTGCTTTCCCCTTTCCTTTTGTGAACCCTAGACAGATCAACGGAGGCGACGAATCTGGACTCCACCCCATCAGATCGACAGAGGCGACGAATCCCGTGGAGGCAAGAAGAACCCAACAGCAACGGCGCCGGCGAAGGGAGGGACTCCACCCCATCAGATTCAATTCTCTCTCTCTTAATCAAGTTACTTCTTTTTTATTCCTCAAAATCTAAGTTTCCCCTCTTTTTCACTTTCATCTCTTTTTGTATCATCTGTGTTTAGCCCTAACAGATGATCGGGACGTGAGACAAAGAGAGAGAGAGAGAGACAGCGGTGGAGAGACACGAACTGAGAGATGGAGAGGCGAAGACGACGCAGACAGTGAACTCATTGATTGATTATATATATATACGTGCGTTTGTTTATTTATGAATCCCAATCTGTAGTCAATCCTTCATTTTATCTGTTTTCCATTTGACATGAAGCTGAATATATATATATATATATATATATATATTTTGATTTATTCGTTTTGTGTTTCATTTTCATTCAATGACCTGTTCTTTCAATATGATCTCATTTTTTAAAATTGGGATTCAAGGTTATTCTTACACTGTTGTTAAGGAAAATTGACGTTTTGTCATTTTTTGATTTCTTTTGTGTCTGACTACATCCAATTTTAAGGATGATTATAGACAACCAAACACTGAACGTCTCTATTTTTTGACTTCCTCTTCTTCTTCTTCTTTTTTTGGTGAAGTTGGACTGTGATACCAGGCAAAGATGGAGTGAATGAATGATTAGAGAAGAAGAGTGAGGGGAGAGATGAGTGGGTTGTTGAGCCTTTTTGGGTCTTTTTTGCAGAGAGAGAGGATGGAGTCTTGTTGATTCTTTTTGGGTCTTTTTTGCAGGATAACCTTCAACGAGCCTTGTTCTGTTTTTTTTTTATAAATTGAAATTTCTCCCAAACGATGTCATTTTGGGGGTGCCGCAGGGAGGGTCGCAGGCTTGTGCGGCCGAGGATCCGGACTCGTTGAGTGACCGGGGGTTGATCTCAGGGTAAAATTTTTACAAAATTTTGCTTGAGATGGTCATCTGACAGGACGTCTGGTCGATCGTCCGATGGGTGCATACTTAACGGTTATATACAGTAAATTGCTGTTTGGTGAAAAGTTTGGGACGTTCTCAATTTGATATCGTTTTGGTGAAACCATTGGAGCACAAAAGTATCTCTTTTTCACCAAATTTGAATTTGATGATAGATTTGGTGAACAGTTAAAGATGATCTTAATAACTTGAGAAGAAAAAAACAGTTTATATCCAGAGCCAGCCTTGGCCCAAAGCGAGCAAGACGGTCGTCTTAAGCCCCAAATTTTGACAAATTTTAAAATCTTCGAATAATTTTAACTCTTGTGATATTAGTAGATTTAAAAACAAAGTTCCAAACCAACTAATGTAATTTCACAATCTAAATTAAAAGTTTTTAGAACATATCCGACTTTTATTTTTTTCTAATTTAATTTAATTATAGATTTGAGTAAAAAAAAACTTAATTTGATATTAATTATTCCAACTCTCTCATCAAATCTTCATGAAAATCTTTTTAAAAATTCTCTTTATATCCCAAAATTTTCATTTTATCAAATTCGACGAGGAAAAAAAAAATAAAAAATATCTTCAATGTCCTTTTAAATTTTCATCAAATTCAAATTTGATAAATTCTAAATTTGATTTTAAAAAAATGCCTCCCTTGACCAAATAAAAAATTATATATTTATAAATCTCATTCATTTATATTAACCTTGAATTTATATTATACATTTTGAGAGTAAAAATTTTAAATAAATATTTTTTTTATTATTTGTACATGAAAGGCTCCAATTTTAAAATTCCGCCTTACACCTCAAAAATCTCAGCCAGCCCTGTTTATATCGACCAAACATGACTTACTGGGAAAACTAAGAAACCATGACTGACTTATAGTGACGAAAAATACGTGTTCAGAGGATTCCATTTGACATGCGAGAGAGAAAGAGAAGAAACTCCCACGAATATATGTTACAAAACTTGGCACACACTGGACTGTCGGATCTAGTAAACTTGGAACACCACGAAAACCCGTTAGCAATAACACTTTCCTTTTTTCCAATTTTTTTTTTCTTAATTCCTCTCGCACTAATATAAACACCTAAAACACCTCTTGAAATCAGGTAAACATTACTCATACAATATAACCTCGACTGAATTCATCAAGCTTGGAAAACTCAAAGTGGGCATTTTGGTTCTTGAACTCTGATGATGATGATTCTTCAGATCCTGCTGATTGATCCAATTCTGTTAGCGTAGTCCACACAGTTTCAACAAACAAGAGAGGACCTAAGGGACGTGGCAGTTGGGAGTTGTGTGCATGATGCCCAGCGAATAACCGATTCAGTCACCATGAGATCAATCTGATCAAATTCACCGAGCCCAATCGTATGGTTTCTCCTGCTATGGATGCCCGACATTCTAGACCCGTTTGTTCCTTCTGCTCTTCTAACCTCTGCAGCTTTATGCTCCATTTCTCTTGCCTCATGCCCAAAGCATAGTGAAGAAACTGGTACAGTAAACAACTCCCCCCCGCTTGCCTCTGCTCAAGACAAGAATTATTTGTTCTTTTATTAATATGTATATTGTTGTTAAATCGCGAATTGAATCGTGAATCGTTTTGTTACAAATAGTGAATTGTGAATTATATCGAATCATGAATTGTAAGATTCACTTTAGTTAACAGAATATATAATTTTATATATGTATATACATATAAAAATACAGTGTTTAAAATGAAATAAATATAAATATAACTAGACAAATTGTATATATTTATAAAATCATGCATTTCAATATACTTAATTGATCTCTTTTTTCATTTTGCAAAAAGGACAATTCATGCATCATGCAAACAAAATTGAATCACAGTGAATCGTAGCAAATTGTAGTGACTTGCAATAAATTGTAAGATTCATACAATTTAAGATTCAATAGTACGAATCAAATCATTTTGATTGAAACTCCTACATATATCATTTGGGTCCGCATGATGACAAGGTAATTGAACGTGAGGTAACTGTTAGGCAAAGATAATATTTGGATAAATTATGTTGTTGCAGAGGATTCTGGTTTTTTTTTTGAAAATCAAAATTGCATGACAAAGCTTTTAACTAAGTGATGTGCTTTGTCTATCAGCATTGAAAGTCAAAAGATAAAAATCTACAATACCTTGACGAATTGAATCTACTCTTGTTATGTTGGCTGAGAAATCCGATGCATAATTCCCTTGCTCGGCCTCAGAACCTGGGCTAAAGAATGCAAAGCTTGGCATTGCAGCAACAGGAGTAGAGAATTCCAGGGTATTTGATCCACCGCTACTATGAAAGGAAAACCCACCAGATGTGAAGCACGGTGTTGACGGATCCATGAGCAAAGAAGAAAATGATGATCTGTATGTCAGTTCAGGAGACTGGGCATCACAAATAGCAGGCGAGCCAGTTCCGAAGCTGATATCTTGATTCCGAGTCATAAATGAAGTAGATAGAGAGCCTCTTGCCATATCCAATTCTACACAACTTTGCTTTTGACGTTCATACGAGTCTTTAGAAAGTGGTGCAGGGTGGCTTATCCAGGCATGATCTATGAAAGGAGAGAAAATATCGTAAGATTTTTCAGACAGAGAAAAGAAGGGCAGTCAAAGCATGGAGAAAAAGGGGACACGAAAAAATAGAGAATTTAAATTATATTCAGTCAAATAAAATAGATTAGATACAACATACTGATTTGGACCTAAACACTTGCCATCAATTAAGTAAATGACTCTCAGTCCACACTAAACAAAACTTAGGCCCTGTTTGGCAAGTAGTTTTTTTTGGCTAAAATAGTCAAAAGCCACAAAAAAACAAAAGCCAAAAAATTCAACACCAATAGCAAAAGGTCACACCATACATATGAATTAATCATTTTTTTAAATACAACTATCTATTCAACTAAAAAAAAATTCCCAAGTTAACTTTTTTCACCTCATAAAAATTCCAAAAAACTAGAAAGCCACTCCAAAAGCCAAGTTTGCAAACGGGGGTAGTAAAAGCATGCCCACTTTCGTCGTCTAACAGAATATTCTAGTGCTTGTCGAGTCATATATTAGGATGACTTTTCCAAAGACCTCTCACAAATGCAAATTATTGGATCTACTGCAAGCACTAAATCATTTATGACTTCATTGCTATGCTAAAAAAAACTTACAAAAGGAAACCACAGTGAAGATTGTATTGGTGAATTGTATCAAGCAAACCTACAATCTCAAAACAGGATGATCATAAAAAAAATTTGCTCTGTTTGGTTGTGTTTTTGTTTTTGTTTTTTTTAATACAAAAAATTTGTTTAATCTTTTATTTTCGTTTTCGTTTCTGTGTTTTCATATTTGCGGAAACAAAAGTGGGTTGTTTTTAGAAAATTTTCCTGAAAACAATTTTCCAAATGGGATTTTTTTTTTCTTTTCCAGAAAACAAAAAAAAGAGAACAGAACCAAATTCATACGGCACATTGCTTGGCTAGACAAAATTGAAGAATGAGTGCCTCCTCAATCTTTTGGATTCTCAGCCGGCGTCTCATTTCTTCTATTCTTTGATTATTTTACTATGCGATGGGTCTTCTTTTCATGCTTCTACATAATCCTTACTATTTGTGAAAGAAGAGTGCTAAAATCATAAAACTAATTTCCTATGCTTTCATCTTCCTCCTAAACAATAATTAGGAAGTCCAAATCTAGGAATTACAATAGCTAAGTATTTTCGTAAACAAACAATGGAAAACTGATTTACCTAGAACCTGCTGAGCTGTGAGTCTTTGAGAAGGGTCCGTACAAAGCATATCCCTAATTAATTCCTTAGCAGAATCAGATAAATGGTCCCAGGGATCTGATGGAAACCGCAGATCAGACGCCCTAACAGCATCAAATATTCGTGACTTGGTCTTCCCCCAAAACGGTGGCATCCCACTGAGAAGAATGTAAAGAATAACCCCTGCACTCCACACGTCAGCCGCCTGGTTATAGCCACTGGTCAATACCTCGGGAGCTATATAAAATGGACTACCAACAGTCCCGCGCAAGCTTTGACCTGTTGGAACAGAATCGAAATGCTTAAAAATTATGAAAACTAAATTACGATAAAGCTCTGAAATTCAATATTGAAATCTGTATCAAAATCTTGAAAACTAAATTTGAGTTATACCCTTTTGAATGAACAGGGTCGAATCCTTCCATTTCAAATCCATAAAACAAAGCACAACCTTAGTGTCTTGCAAGGAGACAAACAAGTTACATCAAAGAAATATGGGACCCTACCTGACTTGATGTAGGTTGCAAGACCAAAATCAGCCAATTTAATTGGCGAAGAGGAGGCTTTTGTTGCTAAGAGGATGTTCTCTGGCTTTAAATCTCTATGAACAACGCCCTTGTCATGACAATACGCCACCACTTGCATCAGCTGCCTGAATAGAACCCTAGCCTCAGACTCGGAGAATCTACCATGCTTCTCCAACTGGTGGAAAAGCTCCCCTCCGGCACAAAGTTCCATCACCAGATGAACATAATCTTCCTCCTCATAAACAGCTTTGAGATCTACAACATTTGGGTGCCCAGACAACTTAGTCATTATTTCAATCTCAAGCTTGATGCTCCGCACATCGTCCTGGGTGACGAATCTATCCTTGGCGATTGACTTGCAAGCCAGTACCTCACCAGTGAACTTATCAGAGCATGCCCTGATAATGCCAAACTGCCCCCATCCCAATTGCTCTCCAAGAACGTATTGATCTTTCAAATTTGAGGTCTGGTTAGTCTCCAAAATGTTTTTGTAAAGGCCTGAAACTTTGTAACAATCGCATGTTCGAAATGATAATTCCTTGTTGCCGTTGCTCTTGGCAACAGCCATAAGAAATCTTGAAACCCCAATAATAAGAAAATACCAATCAAGATCGCCTAAATTATCAACTAGCTTGCCCTCTTCAACTAACCAGGAACCCTAAATTCTTAAGTCAAAATTCTCGATTTTCTTTGAAACCCATATACCAAAACCATAGATAAGGTCAAAATACTGAAAAAAACCTGCTAATGGCTAGAAGGTGAAGTTTGACAATGATGATTAGTCTCAGGCATACAACGCGTTCGAGCCGTTATTTCACATGACAAACCACAAAACAACAAAAGATCAAACTCTATCTAGGCTGCAACTCTCCAATCCCTGCTCGATCACTCGGATCTGACACAATCAAATAAAAAATATATATCAAATTGAAACTCAAAACTCTTTAATTGAACAGATATCTAATTAGAAAAGCAGCAAAAAAATATTTTAAAAAGAACAGTTGGCAAACTCTGACTGGTTATATTTGTTTTTATGGTTAGAAAACAAACATATTTGAACAGAGAGTAAGTTAAGAAGTTCAAATTCAATTCAAACAGAAAAATCTCCAACCTTAGATCTCCACTGAAGAACATAAATAAAAATAATAAGAAAAAGAAAAAAAAAAACCTATTTTAATGGAACGGATCCAGCAAAGAAAGCCAATTTGAAACCCTAATCAGCTCAAAACAGCCAAATACAACCTAAGTCACTTCCAAGAAACAAACGAGCTAATACCCATGAAAATTGAGAAACCCCTAAATCAAAAAAAAAAAAAACAAAAACAAAATTGAGCACATACCCATTAAAATTTGACCTTAAAAACAGCAACCCAGATCGATCGTTTTGTTGACAAACATAAAGATAAGTGAATTTGTGCAAATCAAATACAACCCAAAATCATATATAGATAGAGATGGAAGATAAAGGAAAGCAAACCTGGAGAGGGAAGAGAGAGAGAGAGAGGCCTAGAGAGAGGTGGGGAGGGGAGAGAGAACCAGAGGAGAAGAAAGCTCCGTTGGAGCAGTGATTGAGTTCCCCACGAGAGAACCTGATTGTGGGCTCTGATGGTCTCCTCGTCCTGAGTTTGCCAATGCCAAACCCCACCCACACCACTTTGTGTTTTTTTTATTTTTGGTATGGTTTTGTTTTGTTTTGTTTTTGTTTTTATTTTTGTTTTTCAGATGTTTTGTTTATATTTTTTTGAATTCCTCGGATTCCAAGAACGAATTAATATAAATTAAATGACTTTTTTTCAAGGTCACCTTTCGTAACTTTTTCGTGAAGTCTTTGGAATGAATAAAAAAAAATATAAAAATAATAAAGAATAACCGATCAAGCTGGGTGGGTAACACCTAATGGATTAAAAAATTAATTTAATTAGTCAAATTACATTTTTTTTTTATTATCCGTTTTTGTTTTTGTGTTTTTTCCCCCACACTATAGCTAGCTTCTACACTCCATGACTACGAGGAGAGGAGTACAATTTTGGTGGGCTTTCAATTTGAATTATTTTTACTATTTGTGTAAAATATTTTTAAATTCGATATGAATTTAAATATAAATTTATAAGTTTAAATTAAAAGTTGATTTGGAATGTTTTAAATAAGTATATTTTTTAATTTTTTTATAAAAAATAAAAAGAAAATATTAATTGATGTGACTTAAATAAATGTATTTATACAAAAAAAATACACTTATATAGTTTAATCCAAACAATACTTAAAATCTAGATATATTTGAATAAAGATATCAAGCAATCTAAATAACTTGAAACCTAATATATATATATATATATAAACTAAAAATTAGATGATGTTAAATTAGTTTAAATCATTATATTATATTAAATTTATATTATATATATAAATAACACATCACTGTAACGCCTTCAAAATGATACATATAAACGAATCATTCATGATATCCATAGACATAAGAGAATTAAACATCTTTTCATTTATCAGAGTATTCAGTACAAACTATTACGTGTTGAATGTTGGATTTATTTTCTAGTGTGGCCCAATAGGCTACATATTTTTACATGTTTTATTTTATTTGGACTCCACAATTAGATAAAGCCAATATTTGAGATAAAATTCAGTAATTAGAATTTTAAATATGGGATAATTACTCTTCTAAGATAAGAAAGAAACCTTGATGGACAGGAATTCTTTTGATAAAATTTATCTAGCCCTCTTCTCTACTCTATATAAGGATGGGTGACTTCCCTTTATATTATGAGTATTTTTCCATCACTCAAAGTTTTATAATCATCTTAATTAAGAGAGACAGAGAGAAGAAGGTGAGCCAAGAATTCAAAGTTCAACTATTAGGGGTATTTTCTCAACTTCTCTAATTCAATGGCTGACAAAGGTATGTTCGTTTTATTCTTGAGATGTATTGAATTCAAGATCCTATAAGGTTCAATCAGAACCGGTCCTGGGCTAAGGCCATTGAGGCCTGCGCCTTAGGCCCCAAAAAATTGGCCCAAAATAGGGCCCCCAAATTTAGAAAAGTATTATAGTATGTTGAAGATATAAATAGGCTCAAATTATTTTTTTTGTTTTAGGACCAATCTAAAGGACCTAAAAATATTCTATTGAGCCCATATTTGTTTATAAGTGTGGTTTGACCCAATTGAAATTAAAATAGATACAAAATATTGGTAGCCCTTGAATGAGAAACACTACATACGGGGGATTGTATATACACCCAAAAAATCATTGACACTATGTTTAGGAACTTAGGAGAGAAAAAGAAAAGAAATGATTACATATGTTATAAGAGAAAAGAAAGAAAAGAAATGATTGTGATTTTTCTCTTTCTTGTTTGGATAAGTAAGAAATAAAAGAAAAGATATGATTGTGATTTCACCTCTTCTTGTTTGGTTAGATTTCATAAGAGAAAAGAAAAGAAAAAAAAAAAAAAACTGTTTTATGTTATATGACCAAAATAACATAAAAGCCCTTAAGGACATGGGTGTCAATCATTTTTTTTCTTTTATTTTTAGAGGAACAAGGTTGGTATTATGAAAATATAAGAATCTGTTAGTTTCTTTTCTCTCCCAGGAACAAGGTTGGTATTATGAAAATATAAGAATCTGTTAGTTTCTTTTCTCTCCCAGGAACAAGGTTGGTATTATGAAAATATAAGAATCTGTTAGTTTCTTTTCTCTCCCAGGAACAAGGTTGGTATTATGAAAATATAAGAATCTGTTAGTTTCTTTTCTCTCCCAGGAACAAGGTTGGTATTATGAAAATATAAGAATCTGTTAGTTTCTTTTCTCTCCCAGGAACAAGGTTGGTATTATGAAAATATAAGAATCTGTTAGTTTCTTTTCTCTCCCAGGAACAAGGTTGGTATTATGAAAATATAAGAATCTGTTAGTTTCTTTTCTCTCCCAGGAACAAGGTTGGTATTATGAAAATATAAGAATCTGTTAGTTTCTTTTCTCTCCCAGGAACAAGGTTGGTATTATGAAAATATAAGAATCTGTTAGTTTCTTTTCTCTCCCAGGAACAAGGTTGGTATTATGAAAATATAAGAATCTGTTAGTTTCTTTTCTCTCCCAGGAACAAGGTTGGTATTATGAAAATATAAGAATCTGTTAGTTTCTTTTCTCTCCCAGGAACAAGGTTGGTATTATGAAAATATAAGAATCTGTTAGTTTCTTTTCTCTCCCAGGAACAAGGTTGGTATTATGAAAATATAAGAATCTGTTAGTTTCTTTTCTCTCCCAGGAACAAGGTTGGTATTATGAAAATATAAGAATCTGTTAGTTTCTTTTCTCTCCCAGGAACAAGGTTGGTATTATGAAAATATAAGAATCTGTTAGTTTCTTTTTGCAAAACTTAAAACTTTAGGGATGCAGGTTGATGAAACCTTCCTCTTGCAGTTTATTCTTAACTCACTTCCATCACAGTTCGGTGCATTCAAAATTCACTATAATACCAATAAAGATAAGTGGAGTTTGAATGAACTAACTAATATGTGTGTTCAGGAGGAAGTGAGGTTAAGGGAGGAAGGACGTCAAACTGCATTGGCTGTAACTCATGGAGTTGTAAAGTAAAAGATGGGTAAGTTTGTAAAATCTAAGAAAAATCCACTAAAGAAAAAGAATGAACCTGGGGAAGAAAATCAGGCTCAGAATGGTTTCACTGTCAAGTGTTACTTTTGTGGCAAAAAGGGACATGTGAAGAAAGATTGCAGCAAGCGAAAGGCTTGGTTCGAAAAGAAATGCAAGAAATTTTCTTTTGTTAGATTGCAGCAAGCGAAAGGCTTGGTTCGAAAAGAAATGCAAGAAATTTTCTTTTGTTTGTTATGAATCAAACCTTGCTGAAGTACCTTCTAATATGTGGTGGATTGACTCTGGGGCCACGACCCACATTACAAATGACATGCAGGGATACCTTTCAACCAGGAAACTGAAGGAAAGTGAAAGATTTGTCTATATGAGGAACCGTCTCAAAGCTAAAGTCGTAGCTGTAGGAATCTATCGACTGATCTTAGAGACGGGTCATCAGATGAATCTAGAAGACACTTTTTATATTCCTTCAATTTCTAGGAATTTAGTTTCGTTATCCAAATTAGATCATGTTGGATATTCAGTTTTATTTAATTGTGGAAAGCTCAATTTAATGTTTTTGGTTCTGGTAATTTATGTGATGGTTTATATAAAATTACCTTAAATCATGAGTTTGCACAATCATTAGTAACTCTGCATTCGAATATTGGTTTAAAACGTGGTCTAATTAATGAAAAATCATCGATCTTGTGGCATAGACGGTTGGGGCATATCTCCAGAAATAGAATTGAAAATTGGTGAAGAATGGGATTTTGGAAAACCTAGACTTCACTGATTTTCAGATATGTGTGGATTGCATTAAAGGAAAACAAACCAAACACACCAAGAAAGGTGCCACAAGAAGTAATGAGCTTCTTGAGATAATTCATACAGATATTTGCGGGCCACTCAACATCCCATGTCTTAGTGGTGAAAAATATTTTATCACATTTATAGATGACTTCTCACGTTATGGATATGTGTATCTAATTCATGAAAAGTCTCAGGCTGTTGACATCCTTGAGGTGTACATAACTGAAGTCGAGAGACAATTAGATAGAAAGGTTAAAAATGGTGAGATCAGATAGGGGTGGTGAATATTATGGTAAATATGATGAGTCAGGCCAAAATCCTGGCCCATTTGCCAAATTCTTAGAAAAGAAAGGCATTTGTGCTCAATATACAATGCCTGGTAGGCCACAGCAAAATGGAGTTGCTGAAAGGCATAATCGTACACTTAAAGATATGGTTAGGAGTATGTTAAGTTACTCAATTGTACCTATTTCAATGTGGGGTGAAGCTTTAAAGACTGCAATGTATATTTTAAATAGGGTTCCTAGTAAGGCGGTTCCAACAACTCCTTTTGAGTTGTGGACTGGTAGGAAACCTAGTTTGAGACACTTACATATTTGGGGTTGTCCAGCAGAGGCAAGAATCTTCAACCCACAAGAGAAAAAGTTGGACTCAAGAACAATATCTGGATATTTCATCGGTTATCCAGACAAGTCTAAAGGGTACAAATTTTATTGTCCTAATCACAGTACGAGGATAGTGGAGACTGGTAATGCTAGATTCCTAGAGAATGGTGAAATCAGTGGGAGTGAGAAAACACGAGTGGTGAATTTCGGGGAAATTAGAGTAGATGTGCCAACATTTGACCCTTATCGAAAAGTTGTTGTTCCTCAGACTATTCCACAGGCTGAGGAAAACAAACAACATGATGAAAATCCTTCACCACCTCATGTTTCACCACTTCATGAAGATACCACCATTGAAAATATTGTAGAACCACCACAACCGGCAGTTCTGAGAAGATCTCAGAGGGAAAGAAAGCCTGCCATTCTAGATGATTACATGGTGTATCTACAGGAATCTGATTTTGATATTGGGATTAACAAAGATCCAGTCTCATTTTCACAAGCCATGAATAGTGATGATTCTTCTAAATGGGTCAATGTTATAAATGAAGAGTTAAAATCCATGGAACAGAATAGTGTTTGGGATCTCGTCGAATTGCCTAATAACTGCAAAAAGGTCGGGTGTAAATGGGTCTTCAAGACCAAGCGTGACGCAAA